ACAATTATTAATTTATTTAATCAACTTTGTTATTTCTAATTTAACGATAATAAATTATTCAAGAAGAATGATTGGTTTACCTGAATTTTTATCAGGTCGGGTCAGGTCAGTTCGACTTGTTGATCCGACCTGATATTAATCTAAAAATCTATTGACTTGACCTGAATTTTTAGGTCAGTTCAGGTCAGATAAACAGGTTGACCTGATCTGATTCAGAGCTTTACCCATCGTTGATTGGCTAATTTGTACTCAAACACATTAAATTAGATTAGATTGATCATATTTTAGTGTAACTAAATTGAGAATAAAATAATATTGTCTTCTATTCTGTCTTTTATAAATGAATTATTTTATTTTTAAATTCAAAATATAAGCCTTTAACATTTAAACGATACATTTCTCTTCTTTATTTATTCGCAAAAAGGTAAAAATAGATATTTAAACAAGATAAGTATTCTAATTTTTAAGCAGTTTACTCTAATTGCTACTGTTACATTCACATCATTTATATAATCACTAATATTTTTTTCTTTTATTCATAGTTAGTGTGAGTAAATATGCATCAAATAAAACTTTTATTCTAAATATCAACTGATTGTAAAACTGAATCAGGAACCTGGTGATGTAAATGGTATTTTTTAACTGCAAATTCTGCTGCCTGGCATGTCAAGCCTTTTTGGTATACGTCTATATAGCGAAATACTTTTCTTGCATACTGACGAATAGTTGTAAGTGAAACAGGAGCAAGAGCTAATGGAATGATTTTTTGTAACCCTATTCATGAGTAATCGTAATATCTAAATTTCTTAGCTGCATCTCAAAAGTTCTCAATATAATTGAGCTCATAATAAAACTTAGGGTAGAATATAATTTGATGTTCAGCTGCAATAATAACCTCTTCTAGTCATTCTTTTTGTGCTAAAAAGTCTGGTTATTGACTCATTACTTCTCACACTTCTTCCAATTTTAACCCTTTATTTGGTCATAATTCTCTTTCCATCAGAATTTGCTTTAATCCTTTTGGCTGTCCACACAATTCAGTAATATGATAATCTAATGAAAAGACCATATCTTATCGAATCCCTTTACCAAAATTTGTGCTGTACATTTTTTGCTGTTTTTCACCAGGGCTGAGATTCATATGCTTAACAATAAGCGCATCTAAAGAAAAAGCAGCGTGACTTGATGCATTGTTAAATGCAAACAAAGCTTGGCATCCTGGAAAGCATGCTTCAAATATAGGAATAGCGCATTCAACTACTTGTTTTACTAAGTCATCAGCTTTCACCATCTATCATTGTTTTTGCCTGAGTGTATAATGATACAAGCTTCTCTAAGAAAGTCATCTGATGTCTGCATTTTGTCAGGAAATGCAAGACGATCATAAACATCAGTCAAAAATCACTAATAAGAATCAAGTGACTGTTACCTTTTTTTGTAAGGGTTGTTCACCATCAGGAATCCAAAGGCTCTGACTTCCATCATAAGCTGAGAAAATACACTCATCATGTATAACAAGAATAAGTCTTTATATATTATTGTCTAGCCAGATTATTTTTCTAAATTGTCTCCTGAAAAGATAGGCATTCTATGCTCAAAATTGTTCATCTATTCTAAAAATAATTTTCTATAGGCCATCACATTTTCTCTCTCATGTCTATCTATATATATACCCTTTTTCACCTCGACATATTTATATCTAAATTCTTTCAAATAGTTTCTCGTAATATTAATATAAATAGTTGGGGGTGACATAAATCTAAGTCCTAGCAAAATAATTTCGTTCATTTGCACTATTAGTATCTATAGAGTAATATCCTACTTATGCTCTTGAATATATATTTTTACTTTATGAAGAATGTTCTTATCCTAGAGAAAGCTTCATATTTTGGCATGATGTTCTTGACGGGAGTAGGAAATTTTGTGAATCATTATATATTCACATGTTCAAGAACGAATGCATTTAACATGATATACTCCTTTTTTTATCGCATTAGCAACTACCTTGCTTGCTTTCATTTTCAAATAGTTATATTTTACAAGTTAGAAATAAAGACGAATGCTATTTAAGCATATCCAAACCTCACTGTTAACCTTTTCTTTTTTGATATCTAATTCCAAATTTTTGAGAGCATCTGGAATTTTATTATACCAATTGTAACCTTCAACCTTATTATTTGAATATTCATTAATCTCATCATCTGAATCTTCATTAGTATCATTATCTACTTCTATATTATCCTTATTGGCCACCTCTTTGTCAATTTTCTCATCAGGTTTCTTGACCTCCCAAAAGGTATGCAACTTAAGGGTCCCCTTTGCTACCTCACACTGTTGCTGATTCTTCTATCTTTTAGTACGTTTTGAATTTCCTATATAACGTAGTCTACGTGCTTTATAGGAAGCATATTCATATGGTATTTTTTTGCTGCTTCTTGAAGTTTTCTTACAATACTTGCAGCATTATCATTTTCTTCTAGTTCATTATGAATAACAATATCATCATCATCATCATAACCATCCAGTTCATCATGAAAATCAACTTGTGTGCTTTTACTTATAGCCTTTGTTTTACAAGCCTTTCTTGATTGTTTTTGATGTTTTGTTAGACGCAACATGTTAGTAAATTGGAAGTCTTCTCTAATAAAATCTAGCTAACAAATGATAGAGCATAAACCATATAGGTAAGTTAACTGCTTTATTATTTAATGTTGATTCTTTTTTAAAAAAAAAGATTCTTCTAATTACAATACGCAAAGCAAAAAATTTTTTATTTGTCGTGTGGGAAAGAGAAACTGATCATAATTAGGATATGTATTTAACTATTGTGATTGATTGATTATATTCAGATTACTGCATATAATCAGGTTAATGCGGTTTAGGATTTACAATGATAAAATTACCCATTTTCAGTTTATTTAATTAATGATCAATAAAAAAATTCTTTTTATTTTTAACACTTGTTACAATTTATATATGTACTTAATTTAATGTTAATACCAAAAATTAAAAAACTTTAAATGCTTTATTAAATTAAAATTTCATCACGCTTATCACGCTTATCACGTATATATGAATCAATAAAATTTCAAGGTTACCGTATCACGTGATAGAAGATCAATATCTCAAATTTGGCCACTTAAAAATTTTTGGTTAGGACTAGGTTGTATGCATTGTACAATGAATAGATAGGCTTTAAACTAACTGTTACGTTAAAATTAATCATTAAATTTCCATTTTAAACAGTTACTCCACATTAAAGTCAAAAATAGCATTCTAAATCTATTTTTTCATATTAATTAAAGTTGTAGAGCTAAATAATAAAGATCGTTATGATGCATTTCATCAATTTTTATATAAAAATATCGTAAACATTACTTTTACTTCTATTATAGATGCCTGCCGAAACCTCCTCAAAATAATTTCGTCATATCCTTTTCTATGTTTTTAATATAGTTTTGACAGTTTCGGCTTTCGTCGTATCGAATGGATTTCGTCATATCCCTTATTATGATTTTAATATAGTTTCGTCTAAGTTTTGACTGTTATTAAGAGATTTCGTCCCTCATATATAGTTGATCTAATAATATTTACATAACTAGAAATCATATTACTATATTATATTAAATAACAGAAATAATAAATATAAAAAAAATAAATTAAATAAAAATAATATAAAAAAACAGATGTTAGAACTTTCTTTTATATTAATCATTTTATATTATTAATTAATTATTATTTTCATTACTTATGTTAGTGAATTTAGTATAAATAAGATAGTTGTTAAATTTTGTTAGCAATAAATAATTCAGATAATTTAAAAAATTTAAATTAAATTTATCACAAATAAGATAAATCCTAAAATATACATATTATATAAAAAAATATAATAATACTAAATTTTTTTTTTTAATAAAATTTTAATTGCTTATTCTAAATTATATATTATTATTAAAATTAGCATTCTATTTAAATAATCTTTTAAAGCACTTTCTGAAATACTAAATCTTTTGTTAATTTTACATAAATATTAAGTTTTAATCATTAGTATTTTATAATAACAATATTTAATATTTAATATAAAAAATTATAATTAGTTCAGAGTATAATATAAGACTATTTATAGTCTAAATATAATAACACAAAATATTTATTTGTCTTCCTTCTCTTTATTTGAATCAATATTTATTAATACATATTTGTTTTACTATTGATCTATTATAAATTACTTTATTACGTATTACTTTATTACATAAATTTAAAATAAACTGTATTTTAATACTCTAAACTTGCAAACAATCTTTATTACCTAGTTTAGTATATTAATAAGAACTCTTACTGGTTATAACTCTTCTTATTTTTGCTTATATAGTTCTAAAATAAAAAGAAAATTACAAAATAAGTATTAAGTAAAAGAATATAAACTAACTACTTTTGAACAAGTAAAGTTAACCAAAAAAGTTATGTGATAAATTACAAATAATATTATTTCTAAAGAGTTAAAATAATTACAAATAAAAATGATACTGCAATTAATTAAAACTGGAGATAAATAAGCATCATATAGTTGCAATTAATTGTAATATTATCTTTAATTATAATATTATATAATAAAATAGTTTTAAATACATTTAAAGTTACTTGTATTAATTTATTTTAGATTTCAACTTTAATTTTGCTAATTTTTTACTAAGATTTTGATATAGTTTCACATTTTTATATAATTTTACTTTTTCCTAAGTTTTACAGAATTTTTAATAAAATTTTAATATAGTTTTGCTAAATTTTTATCTTTTACCATATTAATAACTTGCAAAATCTTTAATTATATTAGGTAACTTTAAATACACTACTATAAAAC